TTTGCATTTTTAGTGGAGACGGGGTTTCACCGTGTTAGCCAGGATGGTCTCGATCTCCTGACCTCACGATCCGCACGCCTCGGCCTCCCAAAGTGCTGGGATTACAGGTGTAAGCCACCATGCCCGGCCTTTTTTACAAACTTTTAAGCTATTTTAGTAAAATGGCTATAGACCTCACTGTACTTCTATTTATCTGTGCATTAATAAAAACCTATTAAAATTCCTTATTTACTACTTCTGAAAAAGTCTAATCAAATAAGATCACTAAAATTACCAGAAAAGCTTTGAAATACTGATTGCAGATTAATTTCAAAGTAGATTTAACCCCTTTCAGGATCTGGTGTTTAAATCATGAATGTTTTCACCAACTTCGACTCTGAAAAATATAAAAATTTTAGCCAGTGCTGGCTGTAGTTAAACAGTACTGGTATTACTTGAAAAAATAAAAACAAAAAATATATTGTCAATCATGCATTCCACAATTTTTTTTTTGAGCTCGATAGTATATTTTTCTCATTAAATGTTCAAAACCAAAAGCGGTTTCTCCTTGCAGCAAATACACATTAAAATACAGTCTCTGTATAGCCAAGGGCTCTGGGCCCTCGCTTGCCCCATGTCCCTGAGCCTCCCGGTTCAAACGCAAAAATAAATACAGTGTTACTGCTCTGCAGGGCATAGAGGCAGTGCTCTCCTACCCCTTGAGGAGGCTGGGTGGGAGCTGATGGGGAAGACTTGGCCACCCCAGGGGTCCAGGAGCTGGAGCCTGCTTGGAGTTATTGCTTCAAGGGGGGGCACTAATGCCCAATGCAAATGATGAGAGGAGGAGCGAAGGGGTATGGGCCTTTGCTCTCCAAGTCCCACTCTGCTCTGAAGAGGGGGTAGGATTAAGCAGCAGCAAAAGCATCACCCACTGGGAGACTGTGGCCTCCAACCCCTTCCCTCCCTGAGATAGGCTTCTGCCTCCTACACATCCCCTGCAGTCCCCCATGGCTTCTGCAAGGCCCCCCACACTCTGGGGGCACGTTATGGCTTGCAAGGGGCAGCACTGTGCCCAGAGCCTGGACACACGTTCCCAGCTTCTGACAGTCCCTAGGAGGGGGGAGGGGAGGGAGTGGGGCCTGCTCCCAGGCGCTGATGGCATTGCCCTGGCCTTGCCAGCAGGCTGTGGCACTGCCCAGACCCCAGCTCCACCCCTGTCCTTGGGGCTGACCCCATGCTAGGCAGGTCCTGCCAGAGCCCCCACCAGGACCACCCCTTGCCTGAGTCCATCATGGCCTGGAGCATCTCCAAGAACAGCTTGTGCATGGGCACTTTGACCTCCAGCTTCACCCCATAGAAATGCGCCAGCACTTTGCCCGCTGTCTGGCGGAGGAGCGGTAGCGTGAGCAGCAGCCTGCCTGCCCGGCGCGGCTCAGCACCCTCTCCGGTGCCAGCCCGGCCAGCTTCGTACTCCAGCAGGGCCTCGTGCAGAGCTTCCGACAGCTGCTCCACAGCCTCGAAATCTTTGATGTGCACAAAGTTTGAACTGGCAAGGCCCAGGGCCTTCAGTAGAACGTACTCCTCTCCCTCCAGCCGCAGGGCCTGCAGCCTCTGCACCAGTTGCAGCAGGGCAGACCCCCGTTCCTCCAGTCCAGCTGCCCGTGCCCCCTCTTCATCCAGGACTAAGTCCTCAGCGAAGGTCAGCTCATCCTGCAGTGGCAGTGAGAGCTGGGCCACAGCTGGCACCAGCAACTCCATCCACACGCTCTGCAGTCCTGACATCTGGTCAGACAGCGACAGCAATTAGAAGCCTGGGATGCTCTTGGCCCAGCTGATGGTGACCACGATCTCTCAGTCAAAGAGGTCACAGAGGATAGCCACGGCTGGGAGATGCCCATCAGGGCCAGCAGGGTCGGGCATGGCATAGAGCTCCTGAGGCTCAACCACCAGCAGATGAGACACCAGCACATTGACTGGGGCTGTCTTCCGGGGACCTCCAGCAACTGCCAGGGGCCCAGCAGGGAAGGGGCCTGGAAAGGGCAGCGGATCCACTTCTGGCCACCGCTTGTACTTCTGCCACTCACCCCGGACGCGGTCCAGGCGCACTCCCGCAGGCACTTGATGAAGCAGCAGGCCTGGCAGGCCTTGTGTCTCTGCTTGGTGATCTCACACTCGTTGGATGCCGGACAGCTGTACTCGATGCTCCCCTGGATGGTCCTCTTGAAGAGGGCTTTGCAGTTCTCACAGGATGCCACACCGTAGTGGTAGCCGGAGGCCACGTCCCCACAGACCAGGCAGAGGCGCTTGGGCAGGGAGCTGAGCACCAGCTTCCCACCTCCCTGCTCGCCATGCCCAGCCCCCTCCCCATCCTCCTCTTCCTTGTGGCCTGGGAAGCAGCAGGTGGGAGCTGGACCAGGGGCCAGGGCCAGAGGAGGCTCCGGTCTCCGTCTCCAAGGAACCCTTTGGACTGTCAGGCCTGGCTGGTTCTGCCATGATGTACAGAGGCTCACTGCCCACCACCCGGCTGGACATTGTTAGGCAGGGACCCGGACCCGACATGGCGGCGCCACTCGGAGTAGCGGGCCCTTTGTTTGGAGACTTCCCTCCCTCTTTGAACACACCCTCAGACTTACATACATCAGAGGTTCCAGCTGGGCAGCCACACGCCCCCATGACCTGCAGCTCACCTGCATTCTATAAGTTGGTAAACAGCAGTTTCGGTTAACAGTTTCCAAAGACCCCTTCCTCCGGACCCTTACTCAACTCCTGCCCTAGTAGTTTCAAGACCCCCCAAGCCCTGTTTGCACGACCAGCTTCCCTGCCTCTGGGGCTGTAAGAAGCCCCTACCCTCCTCCCTCAGCGCGACTTTCCCGGCCCACGCCTTTGGACCCAGGAACCTCGCCCGCAAGCCCTAATAAAAGCTATTCTCACTGCCATTTGCCTTCTGTCTTCGTTCCCGGTTCGGCTCCAGCCTCAGTTTACCCTTACGGACATGGCGCTGGTCACCTGACACGCGGCTGCCCTCCTGCCCCAGCAGGCCGATGATCCCAGGCACAAGGCGGGCGCCGCTCCACCCCCTCATGCCCGGCCTGCAGGTCCACTCTTACACTCCCGCTGTGGCAGAGGCTGCCACCCGCCGCACCCAGCCCCCAGCCTGGCACACCTTCGGGAAGCTGCCTAAAGTTGCCAGGCCTCCCCCCAGCCCCGGCGCCCCCCGGGAGAGCTCTGCCAGGTTATCAGGAAGTAAGTGGGGAGAGCCAAGGAACAGGAAGTTCCCCCTGCCCTTGTGATGACCTTTGACCCAGAGAGGAGGGCGGCCCCAGGCCCCTTCGAGCGCCCCCACGCGGTCTTCAGCGCCGCTTCCCCGACGTAGAGCCCTCTCCGTCTTCCACCCCCGGGACCTCGGCAAGCGCGGGATGGAAACCTGCAAACCTGCCCGGGGCGAGCTGGATCGGAGGCCCAACCCTGACCCGGGCCAGGACCCGCAGCCAGAGCCAGATCCTGCCCCAGGCCGGCCCACCAGGACTCGGACGCGGGATCTCGCCGGAACCCTGACCAGTCCGGCCCTCGACTGGGTCCCGCCCGTGCCCCAGCCTGGCCCCAGAGCCGGACCCCGCCTGCAGCCCGCCCGCCTCCCTGCCCCGCGTTCCACAATTTCAAGAACTAAGCGGCCCGGCGCGGTGGCTCGGGCCTGTCATTCCAGCACTTTGGGAGGCCGAGGCGGGCGGATCACGAGGTCAGGAGGTCGAGACCGTCCTGGCTAACACGGTGAAACTCCGTCCCTACTAAAAATACACACACACACACAAAAACTAGCCGGGCGCGGTGGCGGCGCCTGTAGTCCCAGCTACTCGGGAGGCTGAGGCAGGAGAATGGCGTGAACCCGGGAGGCAGAGCTTGCAGTGAGCTGAGATCCTGCCACTGCACTCCAGCCTCGGCAACAGAGCGAGACTCTGTTTCAAAAACAAACAAACAAAAAACCCTAAGATATAACTCATAAATATTGTTATGTCTGCAGATTATCTCAACTTCCATCAGGCCTCAGCTGAAAGCTCATCTGCAAAACGCATCAGCACTCATGTAAAATAAAAGGAGTAGGGAGGTGACTTTGTACACAAACTGTCCAGTGTTTGGCTTCCAGTTTCCCTCTTGTGGGTAACTATTCTAGATATGACTCCTTGAGCATGAAATGAGGAGTAGATAGAACAGCACAGCGTTGGGCTAACAAGAATTAGTGTGTAGACTGGGCGCAGTGGCTCACACCTGTAGTCCCAGCACTTTGGGAGGCCAAGGCAGGAGGATCACCTGTGGTCAGGAGTTCAAGACCAGCCTGGCCAACATGGTGAAACCCCATCTCTATTAAACACACTATTAGCTCTCTATTAAAAATACAAACATTAGGCCGGGTGCGGTGGCTCACGCCTGTATTCCCAGCACTTTGGGAGGCTGAGCGGGTAGATCACGGGGTCAGGAGTTCAAGACGAGCCTGGCCAAGATGCTGAAACCCCGTCTCTACTAAAAATACAAAAAAAACTAGCCTGGCGTGGTGGCAGGTGCCTGTAATCCCAGCCACTGGAGAGGCTGAGGCAGAGAACTGATTGAACCCGGGAAGCGGAGCTTGCAGTGAGCCCAGATGGCGCCACTATACTCCAGCGTGGGGAACAGAGCGAGAATCATAAAAAAAAAAAAAATTAGCCGGGGTGGTGGCAGGTGCCTGTAATCCCAGCTACTTGGGAGGCTGGGGCAGGAGAATCACCTGAACCCAGGAGGCGGAGGTTGCAGTGAGCCAAGATTGTGCCATTGCATTCCAGCCTGGGCAACAAGACTAAAACTCCATCTCCAAAAAAAAAAAAAAATTAATGTTAAAAAGTTTTCTGCTGAATATCTGTTCTGTTCTTACTATAGTTATTCTGTGCAACATATAACCTGTACTACCATTTTTTCTTGTTTATCTATTTGTGGAAATGAGCTCAATAAAATGTGAAATATACGTTAGTTTGCTTTAGATGCAAAGATTAGCTGTTTTTGGCTTAACTGTATCATAATCAAAAAAGTCTATGCCTTGATAATACAATATGAAAAAGTTCACATATGTACATGGGTACATTCCTTCATTAAAGTTTTTCTCTCTTAATTCTATCTCAATGTGTCTTTACAACTGATACAACTCATCTTTACAACAAAAGTCAGAAAGGACAAAGCAGAATGAGTTCATTTTATAGCACTTTAGGTTTTCTGAAGTGTTCCTTTAGGACTTAAAGGACATCATTGAAATGTTGCTTTCCATAGTCTGCAGGATCTATTTGAAGCTCTCGTTCTTCATCATCTTGGATGTCTTCCGCTCCACCATCACCATCTTCTTCCTCATTGTAAACCAGCTCAGCCTGCTTGTCTGCCTCATACTCACCTACGTTACCATCATCCCCATCATAATCCGCCAGTTTAGGGCCATGCTGCGGATCAAAAGGGGATTCATTCTCATCAAAGAATCGGCTTTGCTTCAATTTATGGAAATCACTGACTCTATCCTTGCTAGCTCGCTTTATTGTATCTGTTTGAATTCTGGGCTCACTGTCCGAGTTTGAGCCTGGAATTAAATGCTGAAGAGGACTGGAATGCTTCTGTTTTGAAGTACCAGGGCTTCCATTGTGGTTTACGTGTGAATCTGGAGGCATATTTGGGGAGAGAGGTTGTCCAGTTGGAAGCTGGGAGACGGCTTGATGACTTCCATGTTGAGAAACTGAAATAGGAGGCTTCCTTAAAGCAGAGGGAAGATCAGCTTTTGCTAGGTCATTCTCTTCTATTCAGGCATCCCTGCATCACCAGCTCTTTTGATTTGTTCTTTCCCATGTAGAATATGATTGCTTGAGGGTTCTTCATTCTTATCTGCAACATTCTCAGCTACTTTTGGAATATTTTTAGGTACTACTTGATTGTTTATACCCAATTCTTTTCTGTCATTTGATTGAATCTTGTGGTCCTCTTGCTTTTGTTCCTGTAAAAACTGGTCTGCTAACTTTTTAATATTTTCTTCATGCTGTGCTCTCATTTCCTTGATCTGCTGTCCACACTGAAAACTTTCATATTCTAACCTCTTCACAAGGTAAGTATTGTTCTTCCTATAGTCCTGAAGTCGGTCTTCTTGTCGAAGAAACTCCTGACGAAGCTCAGCAAGGTGCTCCTTTAAATGAGGTATGTCTGCCATCTGATATGATATTTTGTTCTATAGTTTAACCTTGTCATCCTCGCATCTCTTCCCCAGGCCCTCTCTGACCTGCAGCCGGCTGCTGAGGCGGCTGCAGTCGGCCTCCTTCTGGTGATCTGTTTCTTGTGCGTGTCCACCAACAGCAAGAGGTCCCAATTGCGCTTTTCCAGCCACCTGCGGGCCACTTCGGTGCGCGGGACCTGGCCCTGCAGCTCGGCCTCCTCCTCCTGAAGCAGGACGTGGCAGAAGAGATGTTCCAGTAGTTGAAGGCGAGGACGACGATCACTACCAGCAGCACCACCAGCATGAGAGAAGGCAGGCGGCCAGCAGGCCAGCTGGCCCCGAGACCCACCATGAGACCAAATCGGGCTGTCCCCGAGGGGCCTCGCCGCAGACACCTGCAGGCAGAAGCCAGGCCTGGCTGGAGTTGCCCCGGGGACACGGCCCCAGGGCCCGCCAGGGGAGGAGGTGGGCTTATCTGTCTCCGGCGAGCTGGGGAAGGGGGTGGGGACGCAAGCTGCAGGTCCCTCGCCGCTCTGCTCCTCAAATCAGGCCAAAACGCGTTCCGGAGGCTTTGAACCCCACCCTGCACCTGCCCAAGGGAACAGGGAGAACCCAGCTGCCCGCATCCCGAACCCAACACCTCCGATAGTGTTATTCCTAACAAACCGGTTTCAGGTGTGTCTTTAGTAACTGCCGTCAGGTCAAAAATATTAAGTTTTTTCCCCGTGAATATATTTTCCCTAAGTCTAAAAAAAAAAAAATAACATTTTAATGAATATATTTTAAACTGTCAACAAAAATTATGAGAAGATATCTTAAGTGAAATATTTCATGTAGAAATTAAAAATAATTCCACTGACCCACATCAAAAATCTTAGCTAAATTGCCACATTCTTAGGACTGATAAACTAAAAACAGAAATGTGCACTTGAAGTTTTGCTTCATACTACAACAAATCGGTTAAAGCAATTTAATTTCCAAAATACCTAATTGAAAAGATTAGCTTAATTTGCCATAATTTTTATTTTTTCCCATTTATATTAAGGTTTTAAAAACTCCATATTGTGAAAAACTATAAAACTATCCTAAATTAGAAGCTGTTAAAGTCAACGTTTGTCTTTAAGGGCAGAAAACACTGCAATGTTTAATTATAAATCATAATTATAAAAAATTGCATAGGTAAATCACAACATTCTCTTTCATAAAGCAATCATTCTGTAATTTAAAAATAATTATTAACTTTCTTTACATGACTATTTTTAATTAGCTATTGAAGTTAATATCAGAGAGTTAATAGGTGACATTTTCTTGCACATTTGATAACCAACTGCTTTATGCATCAATTCATATATTTACTTGAATAAATTTACTGGCAGGTTAAAATCCAGTTTATAAACTGGAGGGTTGGCCAGGCAAGGTGGCTCACGCCTGTAATCCCAGCACTTTGTGAGGCCAAGGTGGGTGGATCACCTGAGGTCAGGAGTTCGAGACTAGCCTGGCCAACATGGTAAAACGCCGTCTCTACTAAAAATACAAAACAATTAGCCGGGTGTGACGGCGGATGCCTGTAATTCCAGCTGCTCAGGAGGCTGAGGCAAGAGAATCCCTTGAACCCAGGAGGCAGAGGTTGCAGTGAGCTGAGATTGTGCCACTTCATTCCAGACTGGGCAATAAGAGAGAGACACCATCTCAAAAATAAAAATAAAAAATAAAATAAAGTGGGGGGTTAGTTTTAAAAATAATTTTGAGGCCGGGCGTGGTGGCTCATGCCTGTAATTCCAGCACTTTGGGAGGCCAAAGCGAGTGGATCATGAGATCAGGAGTTCAAGACCAGCCTGGCCAGCATGGTGAAACCCTGTCTCTACTAAAAACACATAAAAAATTAACTGGGCATGGTGGTGCGTGGTGGCTCACGCCTGTAATTCCAGCACTTTGGGAGGCCAAAGCGAGTGGATCATGAGATCAGGAGTTCAAGACCAGCCTGGCCAGCATGGTGAAACCCTGTCTCTACTAAAAACACACAAAAAACTAACTGGGCATGGTGGCGCATGCCTGTAATCCCAGCCACTTGGAAGGCTGAGTCCCAGCTACTTAGGAGGCTGAGGCAGGAGAATCGCTTGACCCCAGAAGGTGGAATTTGCAGTGAGCCGAGATCATGCCACCGCACTCCAACCTGGGCAACAGAGCAAGACTCCATCTAAAACAAACAAACAAAAAATTTGAATTCTTGTTTTTTTAATAAACAAAATTACTTCTCTCTAGTAAATAGAAATAACTGGAAAAAATGCAAATACCACATGAATGTTAAATAATGTGATCTCAAATCATATAATCTTTCTTCTAGCTGGTTCCCAAGTTATTTACAAACAAAGGCTTTTATGCCCCAGAACTCTCTTCACTGCCTGGCCTTCTTCTCCCTCAACCGCACGTCTGGCAAATAGGATGGTGGATTAAAGCAAGTCACAGCAGAGGGCGAATGCCGTGGTAAAGTATTGAATCTCAAAAGAGTAATGTACTATAAAGAAAGGGAATGGACATTTGCTGAGCACCTACTATGTACCAGATCTATTCCTCAAGAAAGCCATTTAAGCTCGGTTTCAGTCTCAGCATTTTATAGCTGGGGAAACACATTGATGGAAGTTATAAAAGGTGCCCAGTCACAGAATAGTCAGTGGCAGTGCCAACATTCTGAGGCAGGCCAGTGTGAACTGTCAACTTCTAACAGAAGGAATCAGCCCAGGCCTGGGTTGTCTAGGGTTGTCACCCCAGATCCTGCCCCGGTCATAGCAGGGTGAACAACTTGGCGTCTCATCATTTTTCCCCTTACTCCCCTCTAGCTGGCTTTTTAACACATTGAAGGCACAGAAACCCCTTTCCTACTTTAGCTTCTAATTTTAACAATATTAAATATCAAATCTAATATTAAAAATCAAATTATAACATACCATCCTAATGCAGTTGCACAGAATCACGTCCAAGATGAATGATTCCGTTAAATATTCTCGAGGATTAACTGATTCAGTTAAATATTCTTAAGTAAAACTCCAGGTAGACCTCTCCTTTATTCAATAATATGTAACAGATGCTAAATCACTTTAAATTAGCAATTCAAATAATCTTCCAAAGTCACCATAACCTCTTGAACTTCCGGTGTTAACTGCTGACCACCTTTTCCAACTTTCTTGTATAAACCAGTAATGTAACACCTGGAAGGAGTTAACGCAAGTTTCTGATTTCACTTAAAACGAATCCACAGAATACATAATGCATTGAAAACACCGCAGCTGAGAGCATATCTGCTGTAACGACAAGTTAATTTTTGTCAGACCATGCCAAATACCTGGTTCCTCCTTCCCAGCTATCACTTTCAAGGTTTAAAGGTGAGAAAGAACAGTAACTTCATGCAAATACAGAACAACTTTAGATTCTAAAATAACTTTGTAAGGCATGGCTCAGCATCTTTAAGAACTTCAAATCAGTAAATTCAAATGGCCACAAATAATCTACCACTTTAAGGTATTACATAAACTTTTTTTCCTCTTGCCTTTCCTTCTTTTCATTGATGATGGGTTATTTCTCTAAGGTACACCAAAAGATACGCATGTATTGAGATATAAAGGGGATATGAATACACAGTATTAGACACTGATATTCAAATGAAAAACAATGTTTCTCACAAAACACTTCTTTGTTCAGAATTGAGTCAGCTCCTCTTATTCTAAATCAAAGGACCCCTATTCGTCGTGGGTAGATGTGAAGCATGGCCCATTTTGATTTAAGATATGGAAAACTGCAGGACTGACTAAATCCAGCACACGGTTCCCTCTCTAGGAAGTGGTATACAGAGAGGAAGAGCACAGATGTAAATGCATTCATAATGCTCAGATATCCAACAGCAATAATACACGCAATAAGGTAAAAGTCTACAGTTACGGTAAAAACAAACTACACAAACAAAACCCAGCAGATTGCAAAGCCTGATACCTTTTTGTAAGATCAGCAGTCTTCTCCTGACCAGGATAATTGTCATAGCCTTCCTCAAACTGAATCTGATGCTCTGGTCTTAAACGAACTCTACCGAACTCTATCTGTAGCAGATCTGGCAACATTCATATCTGACATTATGTTACTGAAACTGAAATAATAAAAAGTGTATTAGAAATCTTAGCTACAGAACAGTAAAAACTTTCTTCAACAGAACTGATATCATTTAATGCTTATTTCATTTTTATGTACTAATTATACAGCATAAAAAATGTTTAAATAAAAAATGTCACCTATTAACATTCACATAACACAGAACATTACAATTCATGTTTACTTTCATCTTTTAATTTAAAGACGTTCTTCAGAAATATTGATTTAAATAATAAGTGTCTCATGAAAAGTTATTCAGAGAAAATGATAAGAAAGTAAAATCAGTATCTGTATACCTATCACCTACATTCGATAACTAAATTAAAACCAAGGGTTAGCCATATTATTTGCTGCTTTGTATTTATTCAAACACAAACAAAATGAGTCACTGAACTGACAGTCCAGATATCTATGTCTTCCTTTTTAAAAAAATTACTATTTATTTTGGAGATAGGGTCTCACTCTATCGCCCAGGCTGGAGTGCAGTGTTGAGATCACAGCTCAATGCAGCTTCAAACCCTGGACTTAAGTGATCCTCCTGCCTCAGCCTCCAAAGTAGCTAGAACTACAGGCACAAGCCACCATGCCCAGCCAATTTTTTTTATGTTTTGTAGAGATGGGTCTTGCTTTGTTGCCCAGGATGATCTCAAATTCCTAGACTCAAGTGATCCTCTCGCCTCAGCCTCCCAAAGTGCTGGGATCATGGGCATGAGCCAGCGCATACGGCCATTTCTTTTCACTTCTTGAAATAAACCTGGTACACACGCTCATTGAGAACACCTGGTTCAGATCACTCTACAAAATAAAGCTGTGTTACCACGTTATAAAGTAGGCAGCAAGTAGTATAACATTGCATAAAATAATGAGAGACGAAGAGTACGTGGAAAGATATCAGCTGAAATATAATAGGAGGAAAAAGAGAAGGAAACAGATCTGAAGATTACCATACTGTGCATAAAACAAGCTATGTAACTGAAAAAAAATTACTTTTCTCAGAGAAGCTACCTTATTCTGTTATTTATTTTTAATAACATTACTGAATTTACCATTTCTATTTTCATGGACGAGAAACTGTAACTGCCTAAAAGGAAACTTCATTCAGTTGGTTTCTTAAAAACGATAGTCATACTTATGTCTTAAGTTTTTTTAAAAATTGAATTGCTAAAATTATGCCATACATTTTATATACAAATTCCACGTATGTGGTATATACTA